TGTCTGCTGTGGGAAGGGTGAGGCAGACCATAGCACAGATGGAAATTTCATCTACAAATGTGGATTTTACATAATTGAACATCTACCTCCTCCTTCTGCAAAATATGGTGAACTTACATGCTTGTGATCTATCCAAAGTCCCAAAACTGCCCTGTTCAGAAAATCTCATAATAACAGTGCATGCAATACACTTCACTTCTATAGTCATAGATGTTTTCTCTCTTTTGGAATCAAGTTTTTTTATTCTCAGATTTTCTTCACCAGCCTGAGAATGACATCATCCAGGTGCGAGTGTAAAGCCTTTTCCATCTGTGCGTCTCACTTATGTTTATCTCCTTGTTCTGTGATACTGGCTTTATGATATTGGTTCTATGATACTATCAGGTTTCCATTACTATAAAAAATACATGAAGTAACCAAATAATAAAAAGACTTATTTGGGCTTGGTTTTTGGTGTTCTAGATTATGGTGGCTTAACCTCATGTCTATGGGCTGGTGTTGGGAAAGTACATCGTGAAGAGTGGGGAGCATATGGCTGAACTAACTTCCCACTTAATGGCCAGAAAGTTAAAATGAAAGAGGAAGCCTCTCTGGTTCCACAATCCCCATTACATGCAGCCTTCATTAAGGCTTCCCATTGAGCCAGGTCTCTAAAGGTTTCATTTCCTCCCAAAAGAGTCAAGGTGAAAACCAAGACTTATTACAATGGCTTTGGGAGGACATTGTATGTCCAAACTGTACAACTCACTTTGAGTCTACATGAGTTCTGCAGACAGCTTGTTCTATAGTTCAAGTCTGATAGCCTCAGTGCTTTGTGCCATGTTCACCATCAAGCTGAATCTCTCTTTAAGGAGCAGGGAGGTAAAGGGGAGCCTGCAGCAGCTTTTTGAAGAGATTGTAACTCTCAGTGGAGTGGCCATAGAAGGACAATTGTGACACCAAGGTGCAAGATACCAAGGACCAGAGAGCCTGGCATCCTTCTTCCAGTGCTTTGAACAACCCCACTTTTATTTATTTAAAAGTAAGACATGTAAAGATGGGAACTATGCTTGCAATATTTCCTTCCCTAGCTCCTGTTAGATCTCCCTTTTTACTTTTTAGATAAGTCATTTTAACTTTGTTTGTATACAACCTGTTATTTTTCACTTATCCATAATAATAATTTGTTTTTAGTTGTTTTTTTCATAAATCAAATTGTACACAATGACTACAAATCCTCAGCAGCGATGCTATGGGGGACCACATTTAGAAATGCTGCCCTGGAAACTTATTCACAGACAGTTGTACTGTTATGATATGGATGACCTCCAACTCAATGTTTTCTGGCCTATTAATTAGATTCTCTTTCCTTTCAATCCATCCAATTTAGAGCTTTTCTATTAATACATGGTATGGCTTGCTGGAAATGCAGAAGTATATGTTGTCCATGCTTGTACTTGACCTGTGTATCACAGTTCTTTGTATGGACTTTGTACTCAATGAATTTTTGTAGATTGGAGCAAAAATTAGACCAGGAGTTGCACAATACAAAATCCGAATGAGAAAATTACACATTCATTGATGTAAGAACAGAATTTCAACAGAAGAATAATTCAAACAAATTGACATTGATTTTGAAAGTGAGATTATTGATGCATCAAAATAATATTACCAGAGCTATAACTATGTCCTATTTTTGATAGTTATTACTCAAAGGTGGAAAGGAGAGAGGGATACAGAGAGTTTGGATGATGGATAACAAAACAGAGATTAATAGATGGACTAAGATCAGATGTTCTGTAACATAATGTTGTATTTACAGTTCACAATATTTTATTGTATATTTTATGAAGATGTAGAGTGAGGAATTCAAACACTATAAACAAAAATTGATCAAGGAAATACATACTTAATCTCTCTGGTCTGATCATTACCCACTTTGCTAAAATATTACACCACAACACGATAGTATGTACAATTACTTCGTGTTAATAAGATTAAATTAATATAAAAATATGCTCCTTGTTTGCCTTGCCATTAAACCATTATACATATGTTTTCTCATTGAATGTTACTTGTAACTCTTTTACTTATTAATATCATGATATGATAACTAGGGAAATATTTCAAAGTCATATATGTACTGTAAATGATAAAAGCCAAGGTTGTATATATCAGACCAAAGTCTTAACACTCTTTCTGGCTCTATGTAAGATTTATAAAATTATAGGTAAGCCTCAAAGGAAATAGTAAATTTCTGACGTAGACTCCAGCTCCTGAAATTCTCCTTAACAAGTTGATGTACAATCACTTTGTATTGCAAATTAAATAATAAAATAAAAAAGAGAAAGTATTCTTAAATAGCACTTAATATTTTAATTTGATTTTCATCGCATGTTGATGGAATCTGGCACATTTGCCTCTTTGTAAGTCAATTGTATTTATTCTTCTAAATCACGGGTTCATGACCTCTGGTCACTTTTGTCTTCAGTGTTTTCATTCTAATTGGTTTGAGTTAATGTGAAAATCTCTGTGTTGCCCTTTTGAGTTAAATTTATTTTTAATTCTATTTACTAATGAAATAAATTTTATTATGAATATTTGAACTTAACAACATGTATGTATGGGACCCTTACAGATAGTATAATAACTAATATAATGAGGCATAGTTCTTAATAATTTTTAATATGCACATTTAAAAGCTATTTTATCATGAAAATTATTATCTCAATTGTATAAATTTATTGGTTATGGTCTGATAACTTGATACATGTATACAAAGTTTAAGGATGAAATAAGGGTACTTAAAATGTTCATTTCTTTAAATAATTACAATTTTAGACACAAGTAATAAGTGTGTGTAGTTATGGGGTCAACATAGTATCTTAAGAAATACAATAATGATAAAATAGTAATAAATATAAGTCAAATGAAGACAATCTATGATTCCATTTCCTAATATTAGTTTGCTCTTGGTATGAAATATATTAGTGCAAAATTAATGTCTTAAAACAACATGTGTTTGTAATCCTTCTATTTTCTTTTTCTTTTTTTTCTTGTGGTAATGGGGCTTGAACTCAGGGCCTCAAGCTTGCTAGGCAGGCACTCTACCACTTGAACCACTCCACCCATCTTTATTTTCTGCAATTGAGTTTCAGGTGTGAATTGGCTGGTTTATCTGCTCAGAGTCTCACCAGCATGAAATTAAACCTTTGATCAGGCTGAGTTCTCATCTGGAGCTCCTGAGTCTCCCCCCAGATTCATTCAGGTAAAGGGCAGAAGTGAGTTGCTAGTGTTGACAAAACTGAGGTACCATTATCTTGTCTTTATTGCCCAGAACTTACTTGCTGCACTAAGAACTGTCCACAGTTTCTACCCATATAAGCCTCTCACAACACGGCAGGATCGCCAAATAAACATGATCTCAAAGACCTCTTCCCTAGACATGTTTGAGACTTTCCCTATCTCAGGTCAGCAAACTTCCTTTATTTGCTTATTTTTTTCATAATTCACAGGCTTATAATCCTATCATTCCTAGCACACGGTGTTCTCATTCATCCTCCTGCCTGAGCTATTTCACCAGCATTTACCACTGACATCACAAAACCAAGCATGTAAACAAATCACTTATTTATTGATACAGCAAACATCTACTGCACACATGGTGGGTTCCATGGCATCAATTCTGCTGTAGACTGAGTGTCTCTGTTTCCTCTCATGTTCAAATATATGGGACCTAATTCCCAAGAGGCTTATCTTGACTGATCACTAAAACATTGTTTTGTTTTTTTTTTCATTTTTCTTTTATTATTCATATGTGCATACAAGGCTTGGTTCATTTCTCCCACCTGTCACTAAAACATTGTGAGCACCATTCCTAGTTCAGAGAACCATCACAATTTAGACAGTAAAGAATGAAATTTTATGAAAAACAAAATACAGTTATTTCCTGTTAAAATATTCATTTGTCTTTTTGTGCTTATATGTTGCAAGTGAAAGAATTATATCATCGGTGTTCAAAAAGAAGGTTATTAACAAGATTTAGAATGTGGCAAAATGATCCATTCTAATAATTAGCTTTGTTGCTTACAGATATAGATGTACCTTCAACTGGTTTCCTTTTAGAAGCACATATTGCTTATTGCCCAATATAGACCTATATACTGTAAATAAAAGAATGATGTAACTACTCTTCTAAAATCAGCTTAGCAACAAGGTTTACAGTGTGACACAATGTTCCATTATAAGAAAGGAATCTGTAACTGATAAGATATAAAACAAAAAAACTAAATAATAGAATACTTATTTATTGCTAATTGCTCACAAGTGTACATGAATTGGTCTAAATAAATCTCTGAATTTTAAAACTACCTATAAATTCATGATTAAATAATAGTGCTTCATATGTTTTACAATGCATTTTAACTGTTTTGATAAAGTTTGGAGGCAAAATTATAATACTCATTTTTCATATCAAGTGATCACAGATCATTCCCGTGTTATAAAAATATTAGTAATTTTTTCAGACATCAGGGCTGTGTCATCAACCATAATCAATGCTTTGTGGAAGTCAAGTGACCTACTTAAGACAGGTTCATCAGTCACAGATTTTGGAGAAATTTTAATTGAGGGTTGCGGTAAATTGGCAAGAGTTTAGAACTCTGGAAGGGAGAAGACTACATACAGAACTATAAGTAAATACTGATTGACCTGGCATATAATGAGGTATTTTGGAAACAGTGAATCATTAAGAAACATTTGCTTTCACTGTAGACCTATGTCCCTCGGGGGAAATGATGTGCCCAGGATTAGCATAACAGGAGGAAGTTGTACATAGGGACCAGAGACACAGAGCTGTAAATATCACTCATTTAATTTTCTCTCTGTGAGTACAACCTTGGTCTGGAAGAGACAGACTTGTTTCATTTTGCAACACCATCTTGCTCAGGACTGATGCCTGTCGAGATAGGTTCAGTCTCCACTGTCAACAATCCAGGAAGAGTTTGGATATCCATGTAAATATGCTGTATTCAGAAAACCTATCCAGGTGAGTCAAAGAACCCAGCAGGTGCTGCAGCAGAGCTTGTAAGAGATGGAAGACAAGCATGTTTACCTAAGCTCACCTGTGAGTCAATGAAGCCCAGCCCAGAGCTGAGAGAGGACAGTGGCTGTTTCATTGCTTGTTTCATTAATTCATAGATGTGTTTATTTACCATGTTAGACAGAAGTGAACATTGAACTCAGAAATGCATGGTCATTGTTGACAGTGAAATGAATCCAGGTAGAAGAAGGACTGAGAAGATTATTGTGGTTAATGCTGAAGGAGAATGTGTGTTCAAGGATCTCTGTATTTAATCAGGTGGAGACAGGGAAAAAGTATACAGAGACATGCAGTGATATGAGGGAGTTTCTTATTTCTGAGAGGAACAACTTTTATATTTGCTCTTTATTTCATTGTGTCCTTTTTCCTAAATTAGCTCCCATGGTAGAAAGGGAAGTGAACCAGAATTTCAAAGGAAGTTTCCAGTTTAGTATGTCCCTTCTTAATGTTGGAATGATGTTTTCTCCAAATTTTAAATTGTATTTGTAGGAATATGTTTTTCTTCATCTGAGTTTCTTGAATTATTCAAGATGATTTTGCTTACCTATGAAATTTATATGTGGTTTTCTTGATGTTGCTCTAAAACATATTGTTAATTCATACTGAAGTCTTTTCATTTATATTTTGGTTATATTGGGAATTGAACAAAGGGATTCACACTTGTTAGACAGTCACTCTACTACTTGAGCTACACCTCCAGAAATGTTTTGGAGTTATTTTGAGGTAGTGTCTCATTTTATGCCCAGAACAGACTGGACTGTGAGCTGCCTATTTTATTCTTCCAGTCAGGAGCTGGGAAAATTGGCGCATGCCACCATGCCCAGATTTTTCCATGGAGATGGAAGTTTAACGAACTTTTTTTGCCCATGTTGGCCTGTGGATCATAGCTTCCCAAGAACCTGGAATGACAGGCACCTGCCACTGCACCCAGCAATAGGTTGAGATGATACCTTGCTAATGTTTTGTCTGTGCTGACCTTGAACCATGAGCTCAGGCTCCCATTTAGCTAGGAATATGAGCTCTGTGCCCAGCTCATATTGACGGACTTTTAAATCCTCTGATTTGGGAAATATGTGAACTAAGGAATAACTTCATTTTCCTGAAGCAAGACTGTCATTTTATCATCTTTTTGTTTATTATTCAAGATTCCCAAACTCAAAATAAAACCTTTTCCTTTGTTAAATACCAGTGTACACTGAGACAAAGTTTCTTGTTCACTCATCAAAGAGTAATTAAGTACCTACAACATAACACAACATTTGAGGGATGTTTTCATTATATTTTGTATAGATATTGGCCAATGTAATTATTATCATTGATATCATTAAAGTATTGATGTTATATATATGCTTTTACTCCATGTTCATTCAATTTCATTTAATTCAAGTATTTTGATACCCCTCAATTTAAGCTGGTTTTATTCCCCTGCCATTCTTTTATTTTACAATGTTTTCATTTTAAAGACTTTATTCTCTAAGACACAGTCATAGTTGTGTACCACTGTGAACACACAACAAACAATGCAGGTGATTCTGCTCATTCAGACCTTCCATCATGATTTTGAGAGTCAGAAAAGTGTAGGAAATGTGTGCTTGATGCAATGCTCACAGAGATCAGCCACAGACAAGTATTTTTCTCCATGTAAAAGGAAAGAGTTGTCATGGTTTGGGCATAATTTATGTGATTTTTACTGGGGAAGACTTTGCATGATGAACAAAACCTCAGGCAAATCTTGAGTGTGTGCAGTGACTTTATTCAAAGTGTTCAGATCTGGAAGCCCTGACATAACACAGAAAGGATATCACACAGGGAATGGGGACGGAGTCGGCCTTCTTTGTTCTTATGCATAGAAAACCAATTTTATTTCTCTTTCTTATCAGGATGGTTTAACAGTTAGAAATACCAATTGGTTTTCACTGTGCAATCTAATAAAGTTGATCTCAGAGAATTAGAGAGGAGATTAATGTTCACCAGACAATTAAAAGTGCAGGGAGAGGGAGAATAGGGAAAGGTTGATCAATGGGTCAATCTTGGTTAGATAGGAGTAATGTATTTTGGGGTTCTGTGTCACAGTACAGTGATTATAGTTAATAATGAAATTTACATTACAAAAGCTAAAAGGAAGACTTTGAATATTTTCAACAAAATGATGCATGTTTAAGTAGATGGATATGTTAATTACCTTCATTTGATCCTTGCACAATGTATACAAGGATGGAAATCACACATTTTACTCTGTATAGGTGGATAGTTCTTATGGGTCAGTTACACGCAATAAATCATCATAACCTAATTTACCAAATTAATACTGGGTTTAGCATGAAAATCTATTATAACACTTCATTTAAAACTGCATAGATTTTGTTCATTGTGTGTTCTATTTTCTGAAGATTTATTTAATTCTTTCTTTTTGAGTCTTTTCCACAAATGGATGTTCAGTTTGTGTTGGAGCACCCAAAATACAGCATTGCTTTTTGTCTTTTGAAAAATTTGTGTTTGATCTTTCATTTGTTTGCTAGTCCTCAAGGTGATATGGTTGGAAGCAAAATGCAACAAGAAACTGAGGAAATGGGGAAGCTTTCTCTCTCTACTGTACAACCTCTCTAAGATCACTGAAGATATTTGTCATTTCACCTTTAAGGTCACTTAATTTCTCTCTCTCTCTCTCTCTCTCTCTCCTCATTGCAGCAGAATACACTTGGAAACCCTTGCACAATGGATGAGTTCATAGGCAGGGCTGGAGGGTTGCCTACGGATTTGTTCAAGATTACAAATATGAAATCCCTGAATATCAGAAAAAGATATCACATAGGTGCATGTGGGTGGAGTTAGTCTCTTCTGCTTTTTTCATAAAAACGCTATTTTATTTGTCTTTTTCTGTATGGATAATACACCAGAATGACAAATACAAATTTGTTTTCTTTGTGGAATCTAAAAAATTGGTTTCACAGATCTAGAGAGTAGAATAGTGGTTACTAGAGACTGGTGAGAGAAGGCAAATCAGATAAGGAAAGGTTAATCAATGGGTGCAGTATTATACTAAAGATAGGAGGAATATATTTTCGTTTTCTGTTTCACTGCACAGTGAGTATAATTAGCAATAATGAAATACATTTAAAATAGCTAGAATATTTTCATCAGCAAGAAAAAAAATTGGAACTTTAAAGTGTACCCATATATATGTACAATTATGAGTTATTAATTAAAATGCAATAAATTATTGAAAACCAATTGACCAGTTCAAAACAGACTTTGTTGTGAGAAATATCTTCTAATATTTCATTTACAAATGACCACATCTTGTTTTTCTTTGTAAATTTTCTTTTCTAATTTTTGTTTTATTCTTCTCTTTGAATTGTTTTTCTCACAGTGACATTCAGACTGTGTAATGGGAGTCCAAATATATCATTACGTTTGTCTTTTGTGGAATTTATTTTTCATCTTCTATGATTTTGTACTCTTCATGGGGGATTTGGTTGGAGGTGGAATGCAGCTAGAAACAGGGAAGCTTCTGCTCTCTTACAACCTCTGTAGGATCACCTGAACTTCACTTTAATGATCTCTCTCTCTCTCTCTCCATCTTTTTTTCCCTATCCTGTCTTTCTCTCTCTTTGCTCTCTCTCGACTGAGCAAATATTTTTGTAATGTTTTCTTTACTGTGATGCAGATGGAAGCCAGAGTCTTACTTACACTACATAGTCACTCTATCACTGAGCTACAAACCCTGCAGGAGTTTAATATTTCTTTAAGCACATGGCAGAAAATTGCCATAGCAAAAGGTAGCTTCATGTTTAGATGTATTTGGGATATTTACAAATTGGAATTTCCATTTACAGATCATATGTTCGTCTGCATAGTGAGGCTGGTAGTGAGAAGAACGTGGTGTAATTATGGTTGTAGGCGACCACAGCATGTAGCACTATTTCAAGTGCAGTCTGTGTTTGTGTGTCTGTGTGTTTGTGTGATTGTCTTTAAGATTGATAATAGGCTTAGGAGATTGGGAGCCTGGCTAAAAATATCTCAAAATGTAACCTGTAAATACAGAAACCAGAAAATAAGGAAACAGAAGTGAACAAGGATGCATTCCAGTTCAAAAGACATCTTGGCAGCCAATACAAATATAAGAACATGTGTACATTCTGACATACATTGCCTGCCAGCTTCAGTATCAATGTGTACACTTATTTTCATTATTTCCACCACTGTCTCTCATCACTTTCCTTTTTGCTCATACTCCTAGTCACACTGCCTCCCTCAGGACCTTGAGCATTTGAATTGAGCAACTTCCTCAGGAAATTTGCACTCATCCTGCCAGGCACTGACAGCTAAAGATGACTTTGTGGGTCTCCACCTGCCTCTCTGGGGATTCATTGCAAGCATCACCATTATGTTGGCCTTGACTGAAAATACATGAAAAAATACTACTCCTTATGAAATTTCTCCTTTGTTCTTTGATTGTACCTGTCATCACCTGTCCTGTCACATAATAATTTGTTAATGTAATTGTTTATTGTTTCATTGGCTGGTTCTATTTCTCTTTCCGTTGTTTTTAGGAACTTTTGCTCTTTTGCACAGTTCAATCAGTTCCTGGACACTGTGTGCAATATGATCATCAGTTGAAAAAACTGTCATTTGAAAATTTTGAAGACAGCAAATCCTAAATAGAGGCTGAGAATAGTATAGGAATTAGAAATTGATGCTGGCAAGAAGAATCCTTATAGAGGAACAGATGTCTATGCAAAGCCTAGGGATTCAGTGACTGTCTATAGAATATACTTTACAGTATTTCTCTCAGGTGAGTAACTTCATTGTGTAATACCATTTTCCCTCTTTCATAGGCACATCAGCTACATAGAGCCAGAGAATAATACACAAATTTCACGATTTCTACTTCAGGGCTTTTCCAAAGACCCCAGATTCCAACCTATCCTCTTTGGACTGTTCCTGTTCATGTATCTAGACACTGTACTTGGGAACCTGCTCATCATCCTGGCCACGATTTCAGACTCCCATCTACACACTCCCATGTACTTCTTTCTCTCCAACCTGTCCTTTGTAGACATCTGTTTATCCTCTACCACTGTTCCAAAGATGCTCCTGAATATCCAGACGCAAAACAAGGCCATCACCTACGCAGGCTGCATCACCCAAATGCATTTTTTCCTGCTATTTATAGTGTCGGATATCTTTCTGCTGACAGTGATGTCCTATGACCGCTTTGTGGCCATCTGTCACCCCCTGCATTACACAGTCATCATGAACACCTGGCTCTGTGTGTTGCTAGTCCTGGTGTCCTGGTTGGTAAGTGTCCTATATTCTATGACGCGAAGCTTGATAGTGTTGCATATGTCTTTCTGTGCCCACTCAGAAATACCACACTTTTTCTGTGAACTTAATGAAGTGGTCCACCACGCCTGCTCTGACACCTATGTTAATGACGTGGTGACATATATTGCAGCTGTGCTACTCGCCTGCTGCCCCCTTGGTGGCATACTTTACTCATATTGCAAGATAGTTTCCTCCATCTGTGCAATTTCTTCTACCCATGGCAAGTACAAAGCATTTTCCACCTGTGCATCCCACCTCTCAGTTGTGTCGTTATTTTATTGTACAGGCCTAGGGGTTTACCTTAGCTCTGCTGTGGCACAAAACTCACACTCAACTCCAATAGCTTCAGTGATGTACAGTGTAGTAACTCCCATGCTAAACCCCTTCATCTACAGTCTAAGAAACAAAGACATCAAGAGGGCTCTGAAAAAACTCTTTGATAAGGAATCTAAGAAAGTGCCCATTGTGTTGACACTGAGCAAGTGTCCATGATTGCAGGACTCAAAGGCTCTGGTTCAGACCTGGAGTTCTTGGATCAGATGGTGGAAGTAGAGTTGGTTGTTTCTCATTTATTCCTGAAGATTTTGTTATTCTGATTGCAACTTCTCTATAAAATTTAAATATAAATTCACTCTCTTACACTATCTACTCTCTGTGACATCCAATCATCTCCAGTTTGTCATTTGCAATTTCCCCAAATTTCTTCTATCTTTATTTCAAAATTATTTGGAAATTCCCTTTTATCCCATAAGGTTTTTTCTGAATTATTTCATCTCAAATGACATTTGTCACAGAAATAATTTTAATTTTCTTTATTAAAAGTAGTCATAATATTTAACCCTTTGTTGAGGTCAATTGAGTTTGACAATTTGGGTCATTCATAGAATTTTATAGTTTATGAAAAACATCCATACTACATATTTTCCTGTATATTTCTTATTTTGTGTATCATGTTTCTTATAACATATTTTAGCATGTGATGGTGTTTTAATACTGCCTACTAGACTTTCTGCTCATCTTTAACTTATTTTTTCCATTTCCACTTGATTTTTCTCAGTGCGTACCACAGTCATGGGAAAAACAGGTCCTTTGCTTTTACATACCCCTTACACTGGGTTGCATTATTGAAATGAAGAAAATATACAAATAATGATGAAGTGTTCATTCTTAGGTGACAGGCATTAGGAATGGAGGGAGATGGATGTCAACATGAAAGGCAACTCTCAGGAAATAAGATTTTCTGTTATTTCTCAGAATGTGTTTATTTTACATATGAAACAAGTTTGGTGTGATACTTCCACACATGCCTACACTGATCAAATCCATCCTCCCTTTTTGAAAAATTCAAGATAAAAATGTTGGATAATGAAATAAGCAGACAATAACAAGTGTTGGGATTTGACCTTCGATCATTATGACCCTCTGTGAGCAGGCTAAGGCAGACATCAGTACATATGGAAATTTGATCTTGAAACATGACTTTTTCTCATGTAAACATTCTATCCCTTACCATATGAAAGACATGGAAACCCCTCACTTTTTGTGACCGTTCTGACATCCTGAGACTCACCAGTTTTGACAACCTCATCATTGTCACTGTGGTGTGTTTATTACAGGACAGTTTTCTCAGGTTTTCCCTTTTCTTGAAATCACCTCAGATTTTCTCCTCATTCTGAGAATCTCATTAGTGTAAGACAAGAACAAGACCTTTTTCATCCTTGAGTCTTGTCTCTTTCTGTTCTCCTTATTACACAACATATTATGGGAACATGTTGAAATAATAGAATCTACCCTAGTAATAAATGTAATTGCTACATGTTGACAAAAATTAAACTTAAAAGCTGATACTCATTATGTGCCAGTACTGTTCAACCATTTTACACACATAGCTTCATTGAATGTTCCTTATAACTATTTCATGAGGAAATAAGGGGTTATGGTAACTAGATAAGTACTTTTAGGCTCCAGATATACCATGGAGGCTCAAGGCTACGGCAGTATAATGAGACAATTCTCTTAGGGCTGATGTCTTTAGATAAGGTTTGTAAAATGAGAGTTATGGTTCAAAATGAATAGCAGAGGTTAAGAGCAAGTAAGCAAAGAGGTTGAACTGACCAAAGTAAAGCATAATCACAGCAGGAATATATGGAGAAACACTTTTGAACATTGACTTAGGAATTAATAATCGAAGACAAGACTCTGAAATAAGTATAGTTTGTGGAGGAGTGCCTGTGGGAGGGGGAAGAGTAAATGGAGAAGATGAAGGTGTGTGAATAGGATTGATGGACTTAATATACATATACGATATAGAACAATTAAACCTGTTGCAGTTGCTTTAAGTGGGATGGGGAGGGAATGAAGGCAGGGAGATGGTAGGGACAATGTAATCAATGTGCAATATAAGCCTATTCACAAGTGTCACAATGAATCCCCCTGTACAACAAATATATCCTAATAAAAGTGAAGGAATATAAAAAAGAAAGAGCAGATTTCTGACAACAACTCTGCTTCTAGAATTCTCTCTTCAGAAAAAATAGTGCTGGTTGAGTGGCTCAAGGTGAAAGCCCTGGATAAAGCCCCAGTGTGGTAAAAAATCTTATAATGCCCAATTTTTCTGGGAGGAAAATATAACAATTTTGTATTTACAACTTATATCCAGTTTTTGGCTTTAACTTAGTATCAGAACACTGGATTTGTTTCAATTGCTCTTACATTCTGTGCATTATCAACTTTCTTTACCTTCTATGACCAATGATTACATAACAATGGCTCATTTTTTAATGCTAAAAATCCAATATGTATTTCATTGGCTTAAAAACTGTAGAACTACATTCCTTTTCAGCATGATGTATAGGCAGAGGCATTTATCTACTCTTTTCCAATCTGGAGGCTGCCTACATTCCTTGGATTAAGACCTTGCCCACCATCTTGAAAGCCAGTAATGGCAGGTTGAATCTTCTTCACATCACATTATTCTGAACTTTGTTTTCTTTATTTGTTTTCCAAACTTAAAGACCTTTATCATTACTTCGGCTCACTAAGGATAATGCACTTTTGTGTTATTGCATTTTTAGAACCTAAATTTCATGAACCAAATTTTCTCCTTACCCATATGCCTAACATATCCACAGGATCTGGTACCACGGTGCATCCTTCATTAGATGGCATTTGCCTATCTACCTCTTCCTGTGTTCTGATCATGACCAAATAAATGGAAGCTAAATTTCTAGTATAATTTTATTATCTTAATTTCAGAAAATGCAGACTCACAAATATGATATTGTACAGAATAAAGTAGGTACTATGCCACTATTATTTTGGATGTTTTTTACCACCTGGGTACAGAGAACAATGTGGATGGATGGATTCTGTATATTTGTCAGGATTCTTGTGAGTTAGAATATTTTACATAGTTAAAACTTATGAATAATTTGATATGACATTTTCCCATATCTTTTTTTAATAATTCATTTATAAATTCAAAGTTTTGAAAGATACACAGGGAACAATCATTTATACTTCACTCTTGATTCTTTTCCTGGTCATTTAAACTGAATCTGGAGGTGAAGAAGAAATTTTGTAACCATGAGTATGAAAAACTTGCACTGGGAATTATGAAGAAAAATAAAACTATAAGACCTTAAGGATGTCATAGAACTACTAAAAGTTGCTTTCTTAAGCTCAGTTTCCTAAGTAAATGCCTGTAATGTATGAACCAATAATTCTTTAATTTGTTTTAGCCAGTATTGGGGGCTGGCTCTCTGTTGTGAGAAGCTATGTGTCATTTTATATCTTGCTACAATATTCAGATTCTTTTAGAATTTCAGTAACATGTCATAGAAATAAAAGGTCTGGATAAGGACCACAACTCTCTGTATTCCACATATGACAGGATTTCATTTTCAATGACCAAGTGTTCATATAGACCACATTTTATGAATCTATTCATTGTTGCTTGTCACCCAGTTTGATTCAAAGTGATAGTTTATGAATAATACTGCAATGAATGATACTGGAACTTAAGTTCCAGTATGAATGATACTGGAACTTATGTTCAATGAAACAAGTCAGGCACAGAAGGACAAGTGCCACATTCTCAACCTTATGCAGTTCCTAAACATACTAATTTGGTAGATGTAGGGAATAAAACAATGCTTGCCAGAAGCTCAGAGGTTTAGGTAAAGAAAGAGATATTCTCAGTGATTAGGCACAAAAAATAAAGATATTATTTTGGAATGTTCTACAAAATATACAAGAGTTAACAGCAAGATACTGACTATTGTGAAACATTCCCAATACAAGACATAGAAAATATTTAATAGAGGGTATGTTAATTATACTGACTAGATCATTACACATCATATCCATGTTTTAAAGATCACACAGTACCACATAAGTATGTGGGAGTGATATGCAACTATTGAAATAATAAAAACTTAAGGATGGATTAGAGATATCACACACTTCCATGCATCACCACAACTCTGAAACAAAGCATCACTACATAGAGAATACAGCTGATTTCTGCTAGGATGGCAGATTTTAGTGTTCATGGTGGTCTTGTCATGAATCCCCTGTAGATAGTGAGGGGTGACTGTACTTCAATTTCATTCTCTTCCATAACAAGGTCATTCAGACCCTGATTATTTATGTGGAAAGAGTCATCATCCAAGTTTGGGAATGTATTTAGGAATTTTATTTGCTTTGGCAATGGAATGATTTGAGATTGACAAAGTGCCTCAACTAATACCAACTATTCTTAAACTTTTCCATGAAATAGAAAGGGAAGGGACATTGCCTAATTCATTCTGTGAAGCCAGTATTACACTCATCCTAAAACCAGACAAAGACACCTCCATAAAGGAGAACTATAGGCCAACCTCCTTAAAGGACATCAATGCAAAAATCCTCAAAAAATAATGGCAAACTGAATCCAACAACGTATCAGAAAGATCATTCACCAGGACCAAGTCAGCTTCATCCCAGGGATGCAGGGATGGTTTAACATACACAAATCTATAAATTTAATACAACACAATAATAGAAGCAAAGACAAAAACCACTTGATCATCTCAATAAATATAGAAAAAGCCACTTCATGATAAAAACTCTCAGAAAACTAGGAATAGAAGGAATGTACCTCAACATTGTAAGGGCTATATATGACAAACCTATAGCCAACATCATACTTAATGGAGAAAAACTGAAACCAATTCCCCTAAAATCAGGAATGAGACAAGGGTACACACTATACCCACACTAGTCCTGGAATTCCTAGCCAGACCAGGAAGAAGAAGAAACAAAAGATATACAAATAGGTAAAGAAAATTTCAAAATATCCCTGTTTGCAGATGACATGATCCTACGTCTTAAAGACCTAAAAAAACTCTACCCCAAAACTCCTAGAAACCATAAACAGCTTAAGCAAGGTGGCTGGATACAAAATCATCTTACAAAAATCATTAGCTTTTCTATACACAAAAAATGAACAA